GGTAACTGAACGAGCAATGCTGTGGTTAGGTGCAGAGTTTTAGGTAATCGTGGTCATCCGCTAGAGCAAGTAGCCAACCTTCATTGATTACGCTGGCTGGGACACGTGTGCTACGCATGTCACCAAATAGATTGCCACAGCGAGCGATGTTCGTCGAGGCAGATAGCGGATGGAAAATGGTCCAGGGCGGTCGAACGAAGACCTGGCATGGAAGTATAAACACCCTAACCAGTAGAATGGCTCACGTAGGTCCCCTTGGGCTCTCGAGATCATAGTCACCGATGTTTAGAGACACTGAGCTGGGTGGCTGGGTTTCGCAAACAGTGGTGCTCGTGCATCTATTCAATATTCTTGTAACTTCAGTCTATATGAATTCGCTATCCTGCACTTGATTTGGCTCACAACATTCTGATCTTTATTCTGCTGTTTTATCCAAATGGGCGACCAAATGAAAGGAACCAAAACCGATACACGAAAATGTGCATGGTTTAGGATTGTGAAAGCTGAGTTGTGGATTGCCTCCTGTCCGACATGTATGATCATCAACATTTTACAGATAACAAACAGATAAAATACCGACATAGGACATTTCATCAAGTTATCAGTTATTTGACCCAAATTATTATTCGCGTTAACCACACACACACACACACACACACACTTGTTTCCTGCGCCTCCCGCGATGGTAGTTCGGCATGACAACTGTCATCAGTGTTGATCGACAGAGAAGTTTAAGCTACGGTTATGTGACACTCCGGTGACAATGGTCAAATGTTCGCGTCACTCTCAATGACCTTGAGGGAACAAAGACTTCCAATACGGTCGCTTCATCCTATTGTCGACTATCGCGTGTTGTAAGCGGCCTATTGGTAACGAGATCGCTATCATTGACCGGGTGTGTGTGGGGGGGATGAAATTCGTTAGATCACATCTCACAGTGCGCACATAGTTCTCAAAAACGGTCGATCGGAACAACGAAAACGTAGAACGGTTCACGTTGACTGAGACGGAAGATAACGAGGAGATGAAGCATAGCTCTAACAGTTTCATCAACAGAAAAACATTTACCCTGGGCTGTAACTTGGACAAACGAATGTAATTTTGTCTTATTGGGCAATGAAATAAACAAACAAATAAATAAATAAACGCGGAACTACTACCCCTGCCGCGATCTTCGAAGAGAGAGAGAGAGAGCGAGAGCGGTGCTTTATTATACTGTCGCAACTCTGTGATGGGAAATGCGGTGTGTGTGTGTGTGTGTGTGTGTGTGCGTGGGTGGTGTGTTCTCGGGCGACAGCCCAAACTGTAGTGTCCCCTGCTACTTGGGGGTGCGATATTCTGTTGCCAGCAATCGCGGGAAATGATCTCATCGAATTTATTCTTCACCTTGATGATATTGTGGTGCACAACACCGTATCCAACCAAATACTAGTTATTATTTTTGCCTGTGTGCTGCCCAGACTTGAAACCAACACCAAACATTCAAGCACACAGGGTGTGCAATGAACGACACGAAAATTTACACCATAAAACATGCATTTTCGAGAGTGGACTAATACGGACAGTGATATGATTCGAATTATTCTACAGCTCACACTGGACCAAATGATCGATCTCCATAGATTACATTGGTTGTGGCATGCGTTACGCATGCCACTAGATAGGTTACCACGGCGAGTGATGCTTGGCGAGGCAGACAGCGGTTCGAAAAGGGGTCAAGGGTGATCCAACGAAAAG